GCTCTTTAAGATTCCCAATAACATAAATATCTTGCCATGTAAAGTCCTCGCAAGCATCTCTTTTGTGCACTGGCGATTTCCCACATCGATAACATTGACTTTTACCGGCTTGATACGGTTTCAAAATTTGCTCTCCTTTCGAGTTCTCTGGCGGTTTTGGTTTATTTTGTCCCTTAGTCTTGCGGAGGCGATTAATTTTTCCATCTTCGCCGTCTCCCTGAAGGATAATGTGGTGATGCTTGACTAACTCTGAACTTTTGGCTTCTTTTACAGCTTTATCCAAAGTCAATTTCTCGTCTTGCATCAGCTTTTGCGATAGACTTGCATTTCAAATACCAACCACAATACGATCTCGTATAAGTTCATTCTTTAGATCTCCAAACTGGCATGTCTCTGCTAATTCGTATAGCGCTTCGATAAAATCGATCACCGACTCTTTCTCGCCTTGTACACGTTTATTAAAGCGAGCTCGTTCGAATATAACATTCGACCGTCCCACAAAATGCGATGCGAATTGTTGAATAACTGTCTCGTAGACATAGTCTTTTTCGCTGAGATGAAAGCTTTTCAAGATATCGTTGGCATTTCCACCTATTGCATAAACCAAAGTGTTTATCTGGACTTTGTCATCAAGTCCCGCTGCAACGCGATAGCATTCAAAGCGTTCTATCCATCACTTCCAATCTTCTGGCTTTTTTTAATCTAACTTTTCAGGCAAAGGGATCTGTGCTGTCGCCATTCGAAAATATATTATCGACCGGGTTTTTCTCTTTTCCGATTATTTCACTTCCCCAAACACCTGACACCATGTAAAGTCCTCGATATATTATTATTTAAGAACTAAAAACTACATGTTCAACCATGCATTATATACTAATTACAGTAACACCTAATTATCATATGTAGTAAACAATTAACTTACAAATGACCACACAGAGGCTGCATGGGTCTCCTCCAAATTGCACTAGATGTTTTGCAAAATCCAAACTTCCTTTGCCATTTGACAATATTTCTAACAATATTTTGTCCTTTTGCTCTCCATTTAAATTGGTAATAAAGTCCTGTAACAAAAGTAAATATTAATATTTAAAAGCCAACAATACTTTTCTGCATGTTTACACGTGTGCTGAACATTTTAATACAACCACAAAGATACAGGCTACCAACACTGGAATTTAAATGATGATCACATCCGTTACAAATTTTGTCGTACAGTTGTTTATAAAAGTAACTGAAGGGCACAAACTTGGAACAAACTGTATGGACTAAAGATGTATTCAGTCAGCACTTTTGCTTTAAACTTTCCAGACAGGTAGGTATAAGGCAACTGAAGGCAAAGTTCTTTTATATCCCTACCGTTATTTGTTGTCTGGCTTCTTCAACAGCAATTCGATGGCGCTCGAAAGCGTTTCTTCCAGCGTTCGTATCTGAAGTAGCTTGCTCTGCTATTTTGTTTTTGCAAAGAGCTTTTTTTGTTCCACAAGAGCATTGCTCAGTGCAAGCAAGCATATCATCGCGACACGGGTACCCACGTCTTTTCCTCCCACTTCGCTTGCTGCATGTATTCTTGCATTCACAAAACTAAGTGAATAAATACTCAATATGTAAATACACGTTCTGTAGTATACTGTTCAAAAAACACTATAAATAAAATACTATAAAATGTGATTATTTTTAAACATAAAAAAAGAACACTTACTTGAGTTCGATTACTTTCAATATTTTGACGTGCAGGTGCAACTGCCAAAATCTCTTCGTCCACAGGTTGTATGACTGGCGATCCATAAGCATTCAGATTGTCTTCTGGATCATACTGTTCAACAGCCAGATCTGAATCCGATTCTGAGTCAGACATCTTCACTTTCTTTACAAAAAAGAGCTCCAAAAATGGCAAAATTGGTTGACTATAAAATTTTATATATTAAAAACCAGGTGAGAATTTCCGAGTACAGTGATACTGCCTGCGTGTTTGCCTGCGGACAGGTTCTTTCAGCATTTGTAAATAAACACAAGTGCGCAATGCATCACAGTTGAGACTCATTCTTTAATAAAGTATATGAATAGGGTCTTGTTTCAAAACAGTTATGTTTGCTTAAGGCCAATGTTACACAAGGCATTGTTGTTGCAATGTGAAACATAATTTTGGATACAGTGCCATGTTATCTGAAAAGTAGTCGCAAGGAAATTGTCAACATTGCCCATACTCTTAGGGGTGAATTACTGAAGAAATGGGACAAAAAATGACGGTAGAATAAACCATGGGTCATGCTCACAATTTATCTAGATAACATTGCTCTATGTCAGAAATTACATTGCAAGTTGCAGCAAACATTGCCTCGTGTAACATGGCCTTTATAGATATTGCCAACTTATTCTGAACTTCATTCAGAAGTTTGTTCGTTTAATTTATGAACCAATCGGAGCCTTTGCTTACAAACTGGTTTGTGAATTTCAAATAAAGTTTTGAACTTTGCATTGAACTTGCAAACTTCACAACAAAGTTTGGAATATTTTGGCAAAAGTTATGTGAAAATTTCTGTAACACAAAAATAACTTTTTAACAAAAATGTCTTTTCAACATACAGTACTGTATGTGAATATTCACATTCTATATGAAATAAGGTTGCATTCAGGGCACTGGCAATACATTGAGCAAAATGAACAACATTCATGACCAACCATCACACTTACTGGATTTCCGCATTGTAAGTATTTTAATAAAAAGCTCCGTAGACACTTATCTTCAGTCTGACAGTAAGCTCTCATATCTGCTCCAACACGTCAGTGGTTCTTTCCAATATCTCTGTTATTGTAGTAAACAACTGCTTTAGACAGAAGTCCAGCTCTTCCTGTTTCTTGGAAGTATTGTTGAATGGATGCAGGTGGTCCAACATGAATAATTTCTCAAATACATAGAATATCAATGCCCATACCAAGGGCCACAGTTGCAAAAATAACTGGAATTGTTGAAGACATAGATTTCACTTGATTCAGAATAATTTCTTTCATTGCTGAGGTTTGTGGTGCATGGTACTGTGCAAACCCTAACAAAAAAAGTCTATAGCCTGGCCTATTGGCCAACCTATAGGTTTCTATAGGCAATTGGAACATTTTCTATAGGTGACCTGTAGGGATGCCTACAAGCTTATATAGCTCTACAGGGTGTATAAAAAAAAACTGAACAGATTTGAAATTGCTCTCAAATTTCGCAAAACACCTATTTGTATCTTTTTTTTATATATATATAGCTTCTTTGGGTACTTATAATGTAAAATAATGAAAAAAATTTCCCAAACTCAAATTTTGTCAACCAGGGGGTGTGTCTTTTCCAACAAACTAAAAATGGCTCGCGCACAAAATTTAAAAGCTGTAATAATATTTTGAGTTGATAGATTGAAAATTTGTCGGGTTTTTAATTACTGTACAAAATTTCAGACAATTTGGTTTAGTTTAAGCCCTTTAACTATTCATTTTGTTCTAAAAATCAGCCTTTCGCATGCTTAATTGATGCCTTTACCTAATTTGCATATTGCTGACATATGCAAATTAGGCAAATGCATTAATTAAGCATGCAAATAGCTGATTTTTCGGGAAAATTGTAACTTTGTGTGAATAGTTAAGGGGCTTAAACTGAACCAAATTGTCTGAAATTTTGTACAGTAATTAAAATCCCGACAAATTTTCCATCTGTTAACTCAAAATATGATTGCAACTTTTAAATTTTGTGCGCGAGCCATTTTTAGTTTGTTGGAAAAGACACCCCCCCTGGTTCACAAAATTTGAGTTCGAGAAATTTTTTTCATTATTTTACATTATAAGTACCCAAAGAAGCTATATATATAAAAAACCAGATACAAATAGCTGTTTTGCGAAATTGAGAGCAATTTTAAACCTGTTCAGTTTTTTTTGATACACCCTGTATAGGTGCCTATAAAAGGCTTCTATAGGGAATTGGAACATTTCCTATAGGAACCTATATGCCACCTATAGACTTTTTTTGTAAGGGAAGATTCGTACTAAACAAAATTTTTTTTAAATTTTTTCCGCCCAATTACATAACAATAAGAAGTAGAATTCAATATTTACAAAATTAAATAAATGCATGTATACCTAGTATTTTCTTTGCAAATTATATGGAGTCGGCAATTACTTACTATAAACTTCTTGGAATACTCCATTTTGACAAAAAATTGCTACATTTGCAAAAAAATGATTCATCGAAATTTCCATATATATTTCATGATTAGCTTATACCAATATCTGATATTCACATCTATAATACTAGACTGTCTGCCAGCAGCAATTTCTATCAGCCAAAAGTAAGAACTAATTATGGTCAATCCACCATCAAATTTACTATCTCGAAACTGTGGAATTGTGTTCCACCTTATTTAAAACATTTAAACACTGAAGCCTTTAAAATACAGTATAAACAGTTCCTTCTATCCTGCCTGATATAGTCTTAACATACTTGTCAAATTATGAATTAGAAGCTAATTAGGTATTGATATGTTTACTCTGCCATAATGATTTTCTACTTTCTATTATATTCCATGTAAAATTATTAACATGCAGTAGCCAACTCGAAAGCTTGCGCTATTTTAGCTATTGTGCACATCCAATCTAAATTTATAATAACATCATTATGTAATAATTCTTAAGTTCTATAATCTCAACAGATAATTTGTAAATACTAATATCATGTGCATAATAAAATATTTCCTTTTTTCTATACAAATGCCATGCAGGTATATGAAAACATCTGCTGCAGCCACTTTTCCAGTAATTAGAAATGTGACATCTTTACACATGTCTATTCAGTACATATGCCAGCATTAAAGTCATAATTGGTCTTTACAAATTTAACCCATTGAGCGGCAGCACTCTACCCCTGACGAGTTAAATCATCTGGTGTTTGACAGAATAAAATAATAAAGTAGGGCACATTGCTACTTAAAGGATTAAACTTTAAACTCTAGACATGCAAAGCTTAATGGGGGAGCACAAGTTTCAAGCTTAGTAGTTTAATAGGTAATTAATGGCAGTACCCTTACCAAACTGACAGATATGTGACAGATATATGTCACAGTTCTGTAAAATATCTGCAAAATATATGTACGAAAGTATCTGTCACATATCTGCAACATATAGGAATTTGGCCCCATAACATATCTGTCACAGTTATGTGACAGATATCTGTCACAGTTATGTGGCAGATATGGTCACAGTTATTTGGCAGATATCTGTCACATATCTGCAACATATAGGAATTTGGCCCAATAACATACCTGTCACAGTTATATGACAGATATCTGTCGCATATCTGCAACATATATGTATTTTGCCCAATAACATATCTGCCACATTTATGTGACAGTATAGTTTCCCTACAGATAAAATTATCTGTATATTATCTACCAAACAGATATGTAACATAACTGCCACCATTTTCCTAATATTATATAATTATATTTATATACATGGCCAGAAATAAATAATGAGTACCTAAAAGTCATTAATTGTTAATGTCAAGTCTCACTCAGCTGGTTTGCTTTTAGTTCAAGCTCCACAGCATTTGTCCTGTACTGTGTACTGCATAGCAGCTGTCTTTCCATAGACTGTATCATCCAGAACAAAAGTACGGCGGCCCAGACGCGACAGCAAAAAACAGTTTTTGTATTTTTAGATTTTTTGATTTTTGTATTTTTTGATTTTTTTGATTTTTTGATTTTTGTATTTTTTGATTTTTGTATTTTTTGATTTTTTGATTTTTTGATTTTTGTATTTTTTGATTTTTTGATTTTTTGATTTTTTGATTTTTTGATTTTTGTATTTTTTGATTTTTTGACTTTTGTGTTTTTTTATTTTTTTTATTTTTTTATTGATTTTTTTTTCAGTATAGATATACATACTGTAGCACTTGAATGAGCGGGCAAGGTTACTGATAATGGGTATATATAAGGCCACATAAAAAAAAAATTACTTGTTTAGCGTCCACCCATTTTAATTTTTGTAGGTCCGTTCATGTTTTTTAACTTCCCGTTCATGTTTTTAATAAAACAGAAAATTACCGTTTGGCGGTCACGCGCGAACACTTTAGCTGCGAACAGGCATATTCTGGGAAGGAAACTTTGTGTAAACGTATTACATAGCTCCGAGAAGAATAAAATCACCATTTTTTCAAGTAAAACGGTCTTTTTATAGAGAGTTTTTCCACTAAACTCGGACAAATTAAAAAAAAATAAAAAAATTGGAGGTCGGGGACTTTTATCAGGTCGGGCGGGGACGCTAAACAAGTCATTTTTTTTATGTGGCCTAACATGATCGAAGCTGTGTAACACAAAATAGCCCGCGTGCAGGCCCAAGGGAACTGATAGTGGGCCTGCAAGCAAGGCCCGGTATTTTGTAAAACGCCCCTTTTCATAACACGCCCCATTCGCGCGTCAATTGTCAAAAAAGAACCAATGACAGCACCCAAATATTAACAAACAAACTCGCATTAAAATGTTGCGGGGTTTTCTCTGCTTATTCAGAACATAAACAATGTCTAAATGGCTGCGTTTTAACTCCAAAAAAGCAAGCAACGCCATCAGTAATTGACAAATTTGCCGGTGCTCATTTTCAACTAAAATCGGAACAGGCAAATTAAGACGAATTTCAACAGAAAACCAGTCTCAAACTTCAAATCGTGAGGGAAGTCGTGCGACCACATCAGCATTTATATTATGTGTGCTTCGCTGTCGCCATTGTTATAAATAAATTGTCTCACTTATCAGATCGTGTGTGCAATTCTTGTTGGCGGCGGAAAGTACGAAATTTATTTTAGTTATTTCATTTGGTAAATAACTCTACAAAAGAAGAGAGCGTTCAGAGTCCAGATCGTTTCGTTTCAAACGGCAATTTAATACCGTCTTCTGTTTCGCTCTCTCAGCGAAGCCTTGTAAATCGCAAAGTGTTTTGAATAGGCTTACATGCAACTGAATCTCAACATCAACCAAAAGATCATTTTCTTGGGGAACATATAACGTATCAAGTCTGTTTGAAATTAATGAAACTCAAGTAAAGGTTACTAGAGTTTACCCCAGTCGTAATGTTGCTATTCCAACACCTTACGACAAGCAATCCCCATTGGCATAACGGCAAAAACATCTCTTCCTTCAAGTAAACAATAAACAGTCTGTTCTTGTTCATTTGTAATCGAAAAAAGTGATCAATTTTCGAATTTTAAGCTTATCGAGAGCCTTTGTCTATGCCTTTGTGATGAATCACTGACCTAATTATAGAATCCAACAGCAAACAGCCAATCAGAATGCCGCGATCGTGGGCGAACGCGGAAAGTACAAAATACCGGGCCTTGCTTGCAGGCCCACTATCAAGTTCCCTTGAGCCTGCTCCCTTGGGCCTGCACGCGGGCTACACAAAATTAAGGTTAAGGGTTAGGTGCCGCGAATTTGGCATTTATCATGTTGATAAATGCCAAATTCGGCGCCGGAAATTTGGTGCTGGAAAAAATTTTGCGGCCATAAAATCGTTTATTTTTTGCCGACAATTTTCTTAATTTTTTGAGATTTTTAGATGTATTATTCATCTGGGTACTGGGATTTATATTCTGAGTTCATCAATCTTGCATCAATAAATTTTAAGGGTCCCTTGTTTTGCGAGGCCCACCCGAGATAAAGTTCCACTCTGCCTCTCTCCCGGCGATCCTGCATGCAGTAGATGGAAATTTATAACGAAAGATTCAATATATACAATTTTAGACTTAACTACAGACTTAACTACAGGAGCAGCTGCGAAAATGCTGTCAACTGACAGGAATCGAACCTGTGGCTAAATATAGAGATTTTTGGGAATATGACGCTGTAAATCTCAATTTGCGCTTGGGATTTTTCTTGAAATTTGTGCTTGAAATTTCCATCCTACATAAATCTTTCAATCTGTTCATATTTTATATAATGGCATCACTTGTACTATATACTGTATATAAAAAAGAACTTGTGGTTGGAGCTCGACAACTGAACTCTATAACTCAGTTGGTTAGAGCACTGCAACGGAGTTGCGGGGCCGTAGGTTCGATTCCTGCTATAGTTCTATTTTCCGCAGCTGGTTATAGGTCTAAATTAAATATATATATGAATCTTCCACTCGAAATGTTCATCTACATAAAGCCTTCAATCTCGGGATCAAGTGGTCTTAGAATCAGGGGCGTAGGAAGAGGGGGGCAGAGGGAGCGCGTGCCCTCCCTCCCAAATTGTTTCAAAGGACGAAAAGTGTCCCTTTTTGTGATGAAAAGTGCCCTTTTTGTACAAGCTAATGTCTCTGTAAATACTAAATTAACATCAAAGGTGCCCTTCTTGTTTAGAGATTTCGATGTTTTTTTAAAAAAAATTGGTCGAAAACGTGCCATTGCGTTATGGTATTACGGGAAAACTTTTCTTAAGCTACTAGTTGTCCAATCGACGTGTGTGGTGTACCGCATTCTGGTTTAGAATACTTTATTGTACATATATCAAGTTTATACTACAATATATATACATGATCACTGTTTAGGGAAATTTCATTTATTATGCCGAGAAGGGGGAGGGGGGGGGGTGGGGGAAGATGGATATGTCTTGAAAAAAAGCTCATATTTTTACAGGGCCCCTGTTGAGATTATTGGTAAATTTCCGATGCCCCCCTCCAAGTTTCTAAAATTTTCAATGCCCCCCCCCCTCCAGAATTCGGAATTGAAGCAGTACAATCCGGAATTCTCTCTTATCGTAGGCATCATATATACAATTTGCAGGTCCTCAAGATGTCTGATATACTCAAGCATGTACTTCTCTTCAACTAAAATACCGACCTACTGCTTCTTTCACCTCACTAGCGCCAGATTAAATGGCACCCTTTAAAAAAAAACATTTTAGATTGGTGCCAAAAAAATTTAAGTGAGCTATAGGTGATTTCATGTATCCATTTATAGAAGAGCAGACTAAGGATATCTTGAAACTGAAATCGGTTTCGAATACAACCATCAGGGGCCTAGCAAAGCATCTGACGTTTGGGGGGGGGGGGATGTTGGGGGATTATACATGTAATAATAATAATAAAGCTTTTTGTGATTGATTGGCACTCTCATATTAAGTTTCGGGAGAAAAAGGGGGTCTGGGGGTCCTCCCCCAGAAAATGTTTACATTCTACGACTGAATTTCTGGCGTGTTTTAAAGCAAATTCGCAAACAAATATCATGCAAATTGACTGTATTTTACAAAAATGGTTATCATTTCACAAAAATAATTACTTTATTATGCAAATTTTACCTGAAAATGTCAAAATTTTAACTTGAATTTTACATATTTTTGCCTAAATTTCACAGTAGGGGGAGTTTTCAAACCATCTATTCCATTAACTATGTGGGAGTGAACACTCCAGGACCCTGCTGGACCAAAACTTTGTAAAGTTTAGAGCTACCCCCCCCCACCCCCACCGTCAGTATATCGAGCCCCCCGTTTAATGCCAGATTGCCAGAGAATATTTCGATGCCCCCCCTTAACATCTTCACCCTCCCCCCCCCACCCTTCAGCATAATAAATGTACTCCCTTATTTATTTATTTATTTATTTATACACTAATACTCTTGTCCAGACTTTATATTCCTGTTCAAGTTTAAAAATAAAAGTTTGAAAATAAAAGTTTAAAAATAAAAGTTTAAAAATAAAAGTTTAAAATAAAAGTTTAAAAATAAAAGTTTAAAAATAAAAGTTTGAAAATAAAAGTTTGAAAATAAAAGTTTGAAAATAAAAGTTTGAAAATAAAAGTTTGAAAATAAAAGTTTAAAAATAAAAGTTTAAAAATAAAAGTTTGAAAATAAAAGTTTGAAAATAAAAGTTTAAAAATAAAAGTTTGAAAATAAAAGTTTGAAAATAAAAGTTTGAAAATAAAAGTTTAAAAATAAAAGTTTGAAAATAAAAGTTTGAAAATAAAAGTTTGAAAATAAAAGTTTGAAAATAAAAGTTTGAAAATAAAAGTTTGAAGTTCGTTCGTAGTCAGGAAAAAAGCCTGCGAATACCGCCTTTTACGCAGGCTGAGCCTGATATTTACATTTCAAAAACGTATTAAATTTGTGAGGAAAACACAAAGAAAAATCATAACATAAGCGTGTCGTTTACATGTGATAGAGATTTCCCTTGATTTACATAAACTTTAACTTTGATTTTCTCGACTTACACAACGTATTTTTTGAAAATTACGTTGCCAATGACCGTAGTATAGAGCGATCGTTTTTGAAGCAATTTAAAATACAGTGGCAGTGCCGATGTCTTCTTTATTATCAGACCTAAAGAGTAAAGATATTCGGCTTCGCCTCCTATTTTATATCTGGTAAAACACTGCTGATCATGTATTAAATACTACTAAAAAACTCATTTAGATAAACTTTAAGTTGCTGAATTTTCTCACCAAATATCATTCATTGAATATTTAAAATTGTTGAAGAATAAGAATGTTCCCAAACGTTTGATCACAAGTCATACGAAGTATCGCGTACATGCTGTTACTTTGTTGTCCCAGACATACACGTACCTCTTGTCTTTGGCTCAAGTTTGTACATTTGATACAACACGGCCGCTCATACTTTATCTAGATTGTAGACATAAAATTTACATCCGCAGTGCGTGTTTTATCAGACTTATAAAAGATACTCGGCTTCGCCTATAGTACTTCAAACTTTTGAAGACCATGCATGTCAAGTCCGCGTAAATTCGTAATGTAAATAAATCCTTCGACGCTTTGTTTATATTTCGGACTGCTATATATTTGTAAAATAAGACATACTATTAACTAAATATCTAACAGTTTTCTGGTTCGCTATTGTAAATGAATATAAATTAGAGTACGTTTCAATTCAAAACAGTTCGAAAAATGCAAAATTTGGGCAATATTTATTTCTGTGGGTCGCCCTTTGTTATGAACAGAACTGATGTGCAGAACGAACTTGACAAGGTCTTTAAACATTAAAAAAATCCAAATATATATCAAAAAATCGAAAAATCAAAAAATCAAAAAATACAAAAATCAAAAAATCAAAAAATCAAAAAATCAAAAAATCAAAGAATCAAAAAATCAAAAAATACAAAAATCAAAAAATCAAAAAATACAAAAATCAAAAAATAAAAAAATACAAAAACTGTTTTTGTGCTGTCGCGTCTGGGCCACCGTACAAAAGCTGAAAAAATAGGAATTGATAAAATCAGATTTATTTAATATGTTTTAGATTTAATTGGCATTCAGACAGCAAGAATAATCTAGATAGTGTTAGGCCAAATAGGGGGATGCCCTTAGGGTAGCCATGTCTAATGGGTTACGAGGTATATATTGGCTTATAATTAACCATCTACTAGGTTACATTTGATTTAATACTATTTTTGTAAAGTATATTACAGGAGACATTAGGGCTTACTAATGAGTTAGGCCAAAGAAATCACCGACCCTAATCTTTTTATCTGAACTTTGCAAAGAGTTCGGAACAATTTTTCATACCCAGTTTGTGGCGTTAGTTTTGTACTAGCTAATATAACACTTTTGTTTATGGAAACACCATGTAGTTGTGTTTCCACCAACAAAAGTATTATATGTTTTATCGCATATACAAAGAAAGTATAACCTGTTTGTTTCAAAATCAAAGTTGATGTAATATTTAATGAATGTTTGTGTCATCTGTGCTGCCGTAATTGATGTAGAATATCATTCTCATGCATGAACATTTCTAATAAAAAATTTACAAGAAAAAAAGAAAACCCTACCTACCCTGCCTAAATTTTTTGCATATGAGAAATATAAACCCAGGCATTTCTTTTTTTGGACTTAGTATGAAGCATGGAAAGATAGGTAAAATTGTTTGTTATCAGACAGTAAATTAACAAGACAGAGTAAATTAATTTAACAAGACAGAGCACATTAGGATAAATTGCAGGTCAATGGGTCCAGCCACAGGCCTCACCCTGCATTATTGCAGGCCTATGGACAGCTCTACATGTACCATACTGTAATGACTCATTTATGACAGAAAATTGGCTATTGCACACTGACCCTTTATACTTCTGGCATAATTTAGATTATTAAAGCATTAAACTACTAAAAATTAAAGCCCTACACACTATGCTCAATTTTTGGTACGGCACAGATAAAAGTGGTACCTGTACCAACTTTATCTGTGCTCGGCCAAGCATGGTAAACATGTTACGTACTGTACCAAAATTGAGCACAGTGTCAATGTTAACAAGAGGCCGTCTCCCTAAGATCCACATACTGACTCTCGTGTTGAAAATTATTTTCCCTTCATATTTCTATCATTTGTTAGCCTTTGTTAGTATGTAATAAATATGCATACATCTTTTGGATTCTTGTTTTATTTTTCAAGTTTTGCTGTATTTTCTATTTTGTGTCTGCCATGGCTATTTTTAGACAGTTTCAGACGTAAAATTATCCATTTTCAAAGGAACTTCAGATATGTGTACGACATAATTTGATTTTTATTTTCAGGTCATCCAAAATATTTACATCTATACAACAACTTGATGGCAATGATTTGTATATATTACAGAAATTCGGGGTTTTTAAAAATTTTTCTAACACCAATTATGACGTGCCGGAAAATTGCAAAAATAACCATCTTTCAACTTTGTTTTTTTCAAAAGTGCAACCAGTTATACACCCAGACTAAACTGGAAATTATACTACAAATATTGTTCTATAATTTTATGAAAAAACCTTTTTGGGGAAACAAACTAGTGCGCTCTGAATTTAGATGAAATATTTGCAAATTTGACCTGGCATTATATAACTACACTCGGAAATTATCATCTTAGTATGACATTAAACAAACAAATTAAATCATGTTTAAGAAATTTGATCGCGTCTATTTGATATTTCAAGATAAAGAACAATATTTCATGCATGCTGCATGTTTGCTTTCGCTAGCATACTTTTGAAATAGATAAAAATAGGTACGCAGTGTGTACATGTTGCATGCCCTTTCCTCCACAGAGGCTTTTGCCTTTCCACTGGTACTTCGCCCAGTGGCTCCACCCGTGTTCCAAGATCCGCCATGTAATGGTGTATTTTCACGTCAGCACTCGTAAAATTTCGGACAAGATATTGTCTGAGTGACACTTCTGGTCCAGTATCTATTTTGTGTGTTAGTTGTCTTATGATTTATTACGATGAGATACATTTCACTACACTTTATAAAGTGACTAAAGCCTCAGCGAAGGAGAGTTGCATTTAGGCCGACTTCCATTCAGTGCAAAATATCGGGAGATCAACTTTTTGCAATCACTTTCTTTTGAAACGTGTTGAGTCAACCTGATCTGTTGCGTTTGATTAGTTGTATTTCAAAAGAAAGTGATCGCAAAATATTGATCGGCCGATATATTGCACTGAGTGGAAATCCGCCTTTATAGGCCGCTTATAAATTTTTGTACAACTGGCCTGAAACTTAAAGACCATGTAAAGTCCGTTCTGTGCATACGTTCTGCGCAGGCTTACATTCCAATGGTCGGGACCCGACCGTTGGAATGTTATTAATATTTTGTATCTTTTGAATTTTCTTGAATTGAATCTCTAGTCTGTATTCATTTACAAGCATAGCGAACCAGAAGAGTGTTAAAAATTCAGTATTATATATATCTAATCATATTTTACAACTGTAGCACTGAGCTCAAAATGTAAACAAAACGTTTGTTTACATTACAGACTTTAACATATTGATTCAAGAAGTTTAAAAAATAACTATTGAAAAATAGCTATTATGACAAAATAACAAAACTTTTTTCAAACTTTTCGCGACTGTTCATCTGTAGTTGCAAGGGATGGTAATAACAAGGTCAACAGGTCAAGGTTTTGTCACTGACTTGGTATGATTGACTTTTCGAAGTAAACAATGTTTATATTTTACTACAAATTTAGGTTTATTGTGGCTTACTGACAGTATAAAAACCTGTGGAAACCGTGAATTACTATAATAGATTGAAAATAGTTATTAAACTATGATCTCGACTATGATTGAAATTATCGAAGCAGAATGCTATTTCGGTAGACAATAGTTCATGTTATTTACAGAATATGATGTAATTTTGAAATTTGAAGTTATGCACACAATATAATCAGTGCTAGCACAATGGCTTTGTTTCAATTTGAGCATATAAAAAATTAGAATTTTGATAGCGTGGCCTTTCACAAACATATTAAAATGCCTGATGATTGATAAATAAATATCAGTGCGAGCACAACGGCAGCAAAATAATAACAAATAACAGAATATAAGCTAAATTAAAAACAGCAAAGCTTTACCTACCTCGATCTATTTTTCTAAGGCGCTAAATTACGTAAATTTTCGACGAAAGCCGTGAACAAAAGCGTGCATATTTATTGTTTCAACTTTCACATCATGAAAATGCTCGTCGGAAAAACTCGGACCAACTCGGTATTTGCCGTATTTTACTAATCTATCACATGATTTACCACCGCCGGTACAACGCACAACACGACCCGAAATTTAGAGCTATATGAAAGTTGCATGCCCATATATGGGCATGCAACAAAAACAAGCGTGTTCCTTGGTATAATTGCCGAATCACAAAAATCATCAATTAAGGGTTTTGTATATACTGTACTCATCCAGTTTCATCAAATATATTTATTGGTATATTGCTGTAGTTCATTCAGCATAAGCAATAACTCTTGTGAACATAAATAACATTAAAAAATTGTCGGGGGCAAGGACGCAAGGCAAAGAAATGAGAAAATTTACAGCCAATAGTAAGACGGGTTTTCCCCCAAGGTAGCTATTCAAATGTTTGTGTTATTTTTAGACTGATATTTTTAAATAAATAGACCTTTCCCCTTTTCAGTAAAATTTTGATCTAGACTAGCCTGGACTAGCCTTCATCTCAGCTTGAAAGAGCATCACAAAATTAGTAATATTCTGAATTATTCCGAATTAGTAATATTTCAAATTCGCACTCAAATCAACCGACTTTGCAATGCTGCTTATCCTCATCTCAACATTCGATTTGTCTTTCGCTCCTCTAAACGCATCTCTTCTTTCTTTCCTTTCAAGGATAAAGTTCCTACGTTCCTGAGATCTGGTGTTGTATACTTATTTAAGTGTTGATGCTGTTCCGCGTCGTATGTGGGTCAAACCATGCGCCATTTACACACCAGAGTATCGGAACACCTGGGACTCACTCCTATAACAGGCCAGCCGTCATCCAGTCCTGTCATGTCTAGTATTTTCTCTCACTTAAATACTACAGGGCACTCTGCCAACTTTGACGACTTCAAAATTCTTTCCTCTTGCTCAGACACTTGTGAATTATTGATTCACGAAAGCCTTTTTATATCTAAACTCAAACCTACTCTTAACGTCCAGGGTAGCTCTATTCCGCTTAACCTTCTGTAATTTGCCGTTTTCTTGTGTCTGTTTTGTTTTCCTCATTTGTATCGTCCTGTCTTACATACACCCTCTTATCCTTTATTATCCTTAGTAACATAACACCTTGTAAATAGATTATAATTAGCTTATATATATTCACATCTCGTGTAATTTTATCTAGTCTGAAGATGTCTTAAGTTAAAGACGAAACGTTACAATTAAAATTCTTTACAATCTTTTAAAACTGTTTTAATGGCTTTGTTAAAAGTTATATGTTGGGCTCTAATATTTATTATACGAATTCGTTTTCCGCCTGGCAAATCTCTGGCAATGATTCCGAAGTTTCGTTGCGAAATGTTGTAAAATGCGGTGTAAAATATAGCCTTGCAAAGTTTGCTGTTTTTCAGTCATTTTGTACAAATGGGAAATTGATAATCAGTTTGATCATCTGATTATCAATTTGACAATTTCCCGTTTGTAATGCAAAATAACTGAAAAACGGACTTGTCTAAATCAAAATTTCACTTAAAATGGGAAAGGTCTATTATGGACATGAGAGTCATGTTCATTACATCATTCCCTATTAGAAACGCATATTATAACGTACATGCACAGGTACAGTAGTTAGAGTTTGATCCGCCTTGAAATAAGTTCACCATACTTGCAAGGTAAATCCCTCATCCTATCACATGTATAATTGTTTGCTTTCGCTGTCGGTAAATGCTCCTATACAACGATATAATTAAGTTGATTTCTACAGTGATTGATTTGGTTTTCGCAGGATAATTATTTCCAATTTTAGCTTTTGTGTTGTAGCATTCTTGTATGCAGTCATAAGAGCTGCAAGTTCTTCAGAGACATGAATAGAACTTGTAAAATTCATAGCTTCAAAAAGCTCTTCGCCAGCATTTGGAGCAATCACTTCGCATATTACTTGGCATGCTTCGCTAGCCTTTTCAATGCACGCTTCTTTCTCACTTTGTGTAGTTTCATCCCAACTGCTAGTTAGTCGAAATGACAATGGTGAAATTTCTTTGAAAGACATTAAACTTGCCAGATGAGACATAGATTCGTTGTAGACATCAGTTGTGGAAGTAGATTGGTTTTCACAACTTGAAGAGGAGTAGTTTATTAAAGTGGCATTGCTAGGTGTCCACATGTCAGTCGCATCTGGACTAGCCAATGAAGTAGAGGGAGAGATTGTTCCAGTAAGACATGGCGATAGTGATGTCATTTTCAATCTGTTGATAAAAACGTGAAAGGATCAAAATGTCATCTTAGATTTCTGTGGTGTTTTTTAAACACAGTTGAAAAAGGTAAAATAGCATGGGCGTCAAGGGTCCTGTGTTTTTTTGGGGGCCAAGGGCAGTATTTTCCCGACAAACTACCCCCCCCCCCCCTCCAGCTGCCGACAACTTTTTTGGTCAAAAATGTTTCCAGATAAGAATGTTATAATTGCTTTCGTAGCACTTTTTCCGAAGTAGCATTCGGTGGGCCTGCGTATATGCAGGTATGCTTGACCACGAAGATTCCGACAATATTACCAATATTCCGTCAGGTTTCAACAATGGGGGGGGGGGGCTGCAACCGCGCCACTGTAAAATAGGATGCATACATATATCGTCACCATCTATACTGTATGTTTGCAATATGAAATTCATGTTGGTACATGAACAGAAAATAGCACTTACTTGTCCGTAATATCATTGACAGATTTGGTATCAGCCTTCAATCTGACCCATTCACCTTCTTGACTCATTTTTTCGTCATGCTTTCCTCTACATTCTCGGCATATTGCTAAAAATAGAGGAAGGTCCATGCCGTACTGTCGAAGAAAAAAATCAAGGAAACGATTCCAAGATAAGAATAAGTACTTACGAGATCCGATAGGCACTGGTTTCCCAAAGAGTAAATGTGCGTCTTTGGTAAGCTGTAGTGTTATGACGTGATTCCCCGTAACGGCAGAGTTTGAATCAGTATGGAGTGGGTATACACTGTAAATTTCAAGGAGTCTAATCAACTCCAAAAGTGTTATTCTGTAATCGTTTTAGACCATTTTGGTTACAGAATAAAACTTTTGAGTTGATTCAACTCCTTGAATTGGATGGACGCCAGAATTTTCCCAAATTATACCGATGGTTGGGACAAATTCTCATATGTTGTAATTGATCATGGGAAATATCAAACATGCCGCAACGCAATAAAATAAGCTCATATTCGCAAAGCTTTTCTCTTGACAGATGACATCTCGACAAGTGAGTGCTCACATCATCTGAACATTCAAGGATATTAACACATACAGACTTCCCCCGAAAATTTCCACATTGATAATCAAAATAATTGGACAGGAACAAGGCAAATCCATGACAGTTTTAAAGTAATAGTTTAAGTTGAATTCAGTGCATGTACGTTATATTTATTAAGCACGCATTTCTAAAAAGGGAATGTAATGAACACGATTCAGTCTAAAAATAGCACAGCACATTGAATAGCTACCTTGGGGGAAAACCCGCTTTACTATTGCTGTTTGTTTCTTATTTTTTGCCCTCGTCAATTTTTGAATGTTATTTTATGTTCACAAGAGTGATTGCATGCTTATGCTGATACTACAGCAATAAATATTTGATAAAACGGGATGAATATATAGAAAACCATTAATCGACGATTTTTGTGATTGAAATTATACCAAGGAACACACTTGTTTTTATCTATTTCAAAAGTATGCTAGCGAAAACAAACAGCATGCATGAAATATTGTTTTTTTTCTCTGGAAATGTCAAATAGACGTGATCAAATGTCTTAAACATATTATATAAGTTGTTTGTTGAATGTCATACTGAGATGATAATTCCCGAGTGTAGTTAATGCCGCGTCAAATTTGCAAATATTTAATTTAAATTCAGAGCGCACCAGTTTGTTTCCCCAAAAAAGTTTTTTCATAGAATTATAGAACAAAATTTGTAGTATAATTTCAATTTTAGTCTGGGTGTATAACTGGTTGCACTTTTGAAAAAAACAAAGTTGAAAGATGGTTATTTTCGCAATTTCGCCGGCATGTCGTAATTGGCGTTAGAAAAAATTTCAAAAATCCCGAATTCCTGTAATATATACAAATCATTGCCGTCAAGTTGTTGTATGGATGTAAATCTTTCAGATGACCCGAAAATAAAAATCAAATTATGTCGTACACATATCTGGAGTTCCTTTGAAAATGGATAATTTTACGTCTCAAACTGTCTAAAAATAGCCATGGCAGACACAAAATAGAAAATATAGCAAAACTTGAAAAATAAAACAAAAATCCAAAAGATGTATGCATATTTATACCTACTAACAAAGGCTAACAAATGATAGAAATATGAAGGGAAAATAATTTTCAACGCGAGAGTCAGTAGGTGGATCTTAGGGAGACGGCCTCTTAAAATGGCTGCATTTGGAGGTAAACTTAGGATTCATGTGTAATTATGTTGTTACTAGTTACTAAATTTTGTAGGGGCTGTTTATAAGATCGAGACTGATTTGTCTGGCCTAGGTGGCCACCTTAGCTGGGCCAGTTAGTCATTTTTTTCATAGAAAGCACTAAAAGCAGCCTATTTATTCTTGTTAATTTTTACCTTACAACACCAGTTTGTCAACTCAATCAAGATCTGATTGTTGAGACTTGAGAACAATATTTGGAGCACACCGTGCTATAATCTAGTTCCAATATTAATATGAAAATATATAAAGAGAAAATTTGAGGCATTGTCTCAACGCTCATACATCTTCCAGCTTTTACAAACAAATCATTTTATACAACTGAAGCTCATTAATAAAGAGCTTGCAAGACTCTCCCCTTGACAAGTAAAATTGTCTTAAGCAACATAGTTGCAGCTTAATGGTTTAAGGATCAATACACTAATAGATCACATTCAATGCTGTAATTCTTCTGTATATAATTACAATCCTTATTCATGTATTAAAATGCTAACATATTTTTAAAAGCATTCAAATGTTTAATATATTATTTCATATTGTTAAAAGCACAAGTATGTTTAATATATTATTTCATATCGTTTTATTATTAAGTTATACACCCTTGACAAAGGTCTAGAAAAGTGCCAAATTATTAAGTGCCAAAGACAATTATTGCTAAATTGTTGATATTAATAGCTAGTGCATTAGTGCACAATTTACTACAGAATTTACTATAATAGATTCGAATTGATATTTTATTCTTTCTTTCTTTGCCAGAAACCAACAGTTTGTATGTTTTTTATGTAAATTGACGCGGCAAATTCAAAATTATATTTAACAGAATTTCAGACACATGGCTCAAGTAACAATCACATTTTCACCACATTCTTTTGCAATTAAAGCGCTTAAATAACAAGTAAAAATATAACTATTCTTACCTGTGAGATCTGAATAACATTTTACGAACTTTTCTATGCTTTTTCCATCGTTTGGGTTTGAAATTTTGATAAGTTTCTTCATCATGTATTAAGACATGTATTAAGACATGTATAAAGACAAATTTTTAGCACAAAAATTCGAATCGACGCTATCCCATGACACTTTGCACTCCGACACTTAAACTAGGCACCAGGCCCTCCAGGCAATGCGCGAACTATTGCTTCACTTGTCATGTATTAAGTCACAGTTAATATTAACTGTGATTAAATCGGCAGGTACAAAACGCAGGTTGCAGGTTGCAGGTTGGAATTTTGCAGGTTGGGAATTTTGCAGGTTGGAATTTTGCAGGTTGGGAATTTTGCAGGTTGGAATTTTGCAGGTTGGGAATTTTGCAGGTTGACAGGAATTTTGCAGGTTGATGATGGAAACTGAAAATTACACTACTATAAAGTACTTGCAAGTGATGAACCATGCAGGCGGGAATCGTAATCGTAGTATAAAGATTAATGCCCAGTATAACGTACGCAAAAGAGCCATATAGACAATAATATACACATAAAAAAATTTAGAAGTACTAACGTTTCGTCTTTAGTACTTCTAAATAAATTTTATGTGTATATTATTGTCTATATGGCTCTTTTGCATACGTTATGCTGGGCATTAATCTTTATACTACGACTACTATAAAGTATTCTAGTATATATAATTTTATTGTGTACTTATTGCAGTCTGACTCCTTGTGGCCGCTTTTGATATCAGCCTATTGTGCTACCATGTTTCTAGCCTCTGCTCGTCACCCTTGTGAAAACATTCAAAATGACCAGATTGGCTTGGATCTTCCGGGGGGCGAATGTTTCGATTGTTGCGAGGAGCCTACATGACGTGGTGGCAGTTCAGAAAATGCCTGAATGAGGTATCTCTCCTCTGCACCCACTTATGAGACCACTCAAGCCCCCAATTACTGTATCATTACTCGAGAGTTAGTTAACTTTTAACAACATTCTAGTATAAACGCTGTCACATTATGTAGGCACCTCGCAACAATCAAAACATTCGTCCAGGGGCGTAGGAAGCTTCTAAAAGTTGGGGGGCAGGCTTTGAGGGGCACCTTCCGAATAAAAAAGGGCATCTAAAAATTTGTTGGCGGCGGGGGGGGGAGGTCTCAAAATTTTTTTCAGGACATACCAAAAAAAATTTTTCCAGATATATCCAATTTTCCTAAATATGAAAAAAATTTTCCGGAAATACCAAAAAATTTTTCGGACACATATTTTTTCCGGAAATGAAAAAAATATTTCGGAAAATAACATAAATTCAAGTTTCGAAAAGTGCGCTTTGGGCAAAAAAAGGCAATCCTTAAAACATTTTTAACGCAAAAAAGGGCACTTTGCTCCCGGAAAAAGGGCACTTGGCAAAACTTGGGGGGGGGGGGCGCTCCCTACACCACTGCATTCGTCTCCCTGTAGGTCCAAGCCAATCTGGTCATTTTGAATGTTTTCACGGGGGTGATGGCCACTAGGCTTGGAGCAGAGGCGCCGACAAGGAGTCAGACTGCAATAAATGCACAACTAAATTATACTAGTAGAATACTAAAAAAAGTGGTGTCATTTTAAGTTTGCATTATCAACCTGCAAAGTTCCTGGCAACCTGCAAAATTCCAACCTGCAAAATCCCCAACCTGCAAAATTCCAACCTGCAAAATTCGCAACCTGCAAAATTCCAACCTGCAACCTGCGTTTTGTACCTGCCGGTGATTAAATATAGTTTCTCTATGAATATAAGGAATATTTACAAATGTTTTCAATCAGTTACTGACTGTTAATTAATTTATTGATAATAAATTCTCAGAAAATGAAAATTCTCTACAATGATTCAATAAAACATGGAAAGAACTCAACTTTAGAAATTAAATTAGAATGCAGTTATATGGTATCAGGCAGCCTAGTCCCTGGGTATCAGGGATGATGGAAAGGGGCTGCGGCAAGGTCTCCTTTCCTAAAGGGGGCAAATGTAGCATTTTAATATAAATAAAACAATATTTTTGTCCCAATTTTACTTTAATAACAAATTAATTAACAAAGATAAATATGATAGAAGAGAATTTGTATATTTAATTAGCTATTTTCCAAAGTCCTGGGTCCAGTCGCAAGAATGCCTTGTTGGAGGGGCAAGAAATATGGCAGCACACATTTAAATTAAAGTTTAATGTAAAAAGGAGATAACTCACTTTTGGTCATGTAAAAAGTTGATATTTGATAGTAGATACTTCTACTCTTTCACATATTTGACGCCTGTCTCCATATATTTTGTCCCTCCAAATGACCCCCAGAATATGCACTGAGAAAAGGCTAATTTCTTAAGAAAATGATTTGATGTGAAGATGATGAAATCGTAAGAAAACATTCATATTTCAAGAAAACAAAT